GGGCTGTCCAAAGAGAGTTCCAGAGGGTGGGGGCAAAGTGGCTGAAAGCTCACCCACCAACAGTGGGGCAGAGCTCAAAGGAAGGCCTGACAAGTAGCTTTAGTGACCGGTAGATTCTTTTCAGAATCTTTTTAGATCACTCACACACAAGGGTGCAACAGACAAACACTGCAGGCAGTTTACAATGGATTATCACAGACAGAGACACTGACTGTGTCTCTCTCTGATTTTTCAATTCGACGCAGTACAAAACGATGATGGGGGTGGGGGGAGGGAAATAAATCTCAAAATGTTTGGAGATTTTAAAAGAGTCTCTCTCCTTTTGGGGCGTGGAATATGCTGGAAAATTCTGTCATTCTTCATTTCTTCTTTGGTGTTACAACACAAAACAAAACTCTGCAAAACTGTCGTAACAAACTCACAAGTGTTAAAAAGCACAACAGCAATGCTATTCCAGTTGTGGTGTTTATATATATATATATATATGATGAGCAGAGCATGAAAAAAATGTCTGAGGTATTTTTCTTCTCCCCTTCGCCCCCCAACACATGAACCTGAACAATTGAGCACTGAATCGCACAGTTGACACAATTTCATTCTTAAGTTGACATTCAAAGCAAAAAGAGAGGATGTGCTCAGTGGTGACAATCGCCCTATGGAAAAGACCTGGTCTTTCTTTCCATTCTAGATACATCAAGTGGCCAAAGTAGCCGTCAGAGTCAAAGGTCTCACTAAGAAAGGCAATATCTCCATTTCAATTTATGTTGCTTTACACCCTTTTAAGCTAAAGATTTTGTTTCCATTGTCCCTTGATCAGGGGTACTGAGGAGCAACCTATTGCTGCCTTTCACTCAGTATAACCCCTGGGGTCAAACCTGGAATACAATGTTTAATTTAACACTCACCAGTGGGTTTACCAAATGAGGTATTGGAGGAAGGAGTAAAGCATATTTTCTTTTTTTAAGAAGTGAATAAACATTCTCGATTTTGCTAACAAAACACTACTGCAGTCCTTCAAGGGTTAACACTACCTTTGACCTTTTGGGGCCATTTGGACTTCCCAGTATGATGTCAGGAACAAGGCAAATCATCATTAAATCAGCCACAAGAAGGCAAATCTGCATAAAATTATCATATTGTAAGAAATTAGCTTTCTCTAGTCCCGAAGTCACCCATAGGCCTGTTTCAAAAAAGACTCCAGGGCCCAAAACACCATGTGATCCAATGGAGAGACTATCCATTTCCTTTGGCCTCTCTGTGTGTTTATTTGAATGATCAAGATTAAAATGGAAACTTCCTTCGAATAAAAGGCAATATTTCAATCTGCTGCTCTTTAAAGACTGATTACGTTCTCTCATTTGACTCCAAATCATGGAAATGAATTGAAGATAATTGGGATTTGTAAAAGGAGAATCTTTTTTGGTCTTTGAAACCAATCAATCTGGATTTATTGATAAAAAAGATCTCCTTAAATCATCCAATAGGGTTATCCATTCTCTCCGGGGCCACTTTATTCTAGAAAGTTCTGTTGCATTGAAAAAAAGCACCTATGGGGGGAGAAATTCTACCCGGGTCTGGATTTACTTTATTTTCTTAGCATTTCAGAGCGTCCAGAAATTTGTTGAACTGTGTCTTAACCTTAAAGCTGATTTTTCCTGGTTGTTAAACAAAACTTACAAGCAAACAGCTTCAAAATTAAGCCCGTATTGAAGGCTTTGCAAAATTCAGGACACTGATATGTAAGATAAATGGAGAAAATCTAGACCCAAGTGGAACGTCTACCCTTTAGAAACCTTTATTAGAAACCTTTAGTCTTCAGCATGGTGAGAGAAGAGCATTAAGGACATTTCTCCGTTATTCTTAATCTCGCGAGTTTGTAGGCCAATTTGAGCTGTTGCTCAGATTAATTTTTTTGAGAACATTTTTAACCCAGCATTTATTAGTACAGGTTTCTTTACTTAAAATAAAACTTTATTTGGATTTATGAATGTGGGAAAGGGGGAAGAGATACAATGGGCTAGATCAGAAATTCATACTGTGCTGTATCAAGGTTAGATTGAAGTTGAATTTGTTTTTTGGAGGGGGTTGGGGTAGGGGGTGTGCACTGGGTCATGGATAGGGTTTGTAGTGTTAGGTTTAGGGTTACTTAATGTTAGGGTTTGGGGTTCTTGTGAGAAGTCCTGAACACTGAATACCTTCTCACACTCCCTGCCCAGCCTCAAACTTTAAGAATAAGCACTTAGGTGAGGGACTGGTGGGCTCTCAAGTCTTGTAGACCTACCCCAGAGCTTGTAGTCAACACCTTTAAGGTATGTGAGAGGACATACATCAGATGTACAGACATACATGCGGTTTAGACCTCAGATCTTCAAGCTAATCACTCTCACTGATACTGTGCAGATACAACAAAAAAAACATTCTAAAACAAATCCCACTGGACTGAGAAAGACTGAGTATAAATAGCTTACATTTTTAAGAATGGTTGAAAAGAGAACTCACAGTTCTGGTTAGTAGCTGTATGGAACAAGACCAACAGAGTTTGTCAAACGTACGTAGTGCTCTTCTGCTGCAAAGACAGCTGAAGGACAAAGGACAAATTAAGGTTCATTAAGAGGAATCCGGGCAAATTCTTTTCAAGCAAAAAGCTTTTTTTGGTTTTAAAAAAATGTATAAACTGGGAGAATGAGAAAATGGGACTGACTAGATGTGGGCCCCAATGGTCCTTTGTGAACTTGTAGATTCCTACGTTCCCAACTAGAAAATTGGCACATCAAGAGTTAATACTTAGCAAGACAGCCATTGTGGTGATGCGCTTTGATTGAGCAGAAGCTATCTGATGCATTGTGTGAACCTGGGTGTCACAGCACAGGCACGAGGGGCCAAATGGCCTCAGTCTCCACCTAGGTTTCTATGGCTCTTAAGATCACAAGAGATCACAAGAGCACGGTTTGTGTCCATGTTTCCAGGATGGTTCTGTACGTTGAACAGCAAACCAACCAGCCACCGCTGGAGACATCTGTGATGAGACCAATGAGACATGAAATTGACACTTGCTTCCCCCAGCTCATTGCACGGATAACTGTGTGAAGACCATGACAACTGTGTGTCTGTGTCCGGAAAATTCCACATGCTCACTAACAGGCCTCCCGCTCATTTACTAACACCCACTAACACTTTCAACTCCACCCTGTGCCTGTAATCTGTTGTTTGCCCTGAAGTTCCTAACCCCCTACCCCCTCCTCCCTCCCAGTCTAGGGAAAGCGTTGCCACGTGTCACCGCGGGTATCAATGTGGCATAAGTGCGGCTCTGCAGTCACGTGAACCAGTGGTGCCATTGCTCGTCTCTGGCTCCTGCACTACTGAGGCTGCATTGCAGGAAGCCCAGAGATTGTAACGTTAAGAAACACTGCAGAGGTTGGTTGGATCGGAGAAATACGGTCACCACAGAGATACAAGTGCAATTCGAAGAATGGAACTTACAGAAAAAAAGTGCTCATTAAACCAAATTTCCATCTTTTTCAGATTTCTGGTTGCTCTCCCCCACCCCCTGCATCATGTCACGTCAGATCTTTGTGAGGTGTTCGGAGCCTAGGGGGGCGGTGGTGGGGCGGGGAGTTGGGGGGGGGGGCTCTATGGTATTACTCTTAGTATTAAAGCTCAAGCAGCTACAGGACTGAGAATGCGTTGAAGATGTGGATTTAATCACACGTGCAGAAGAGTATCCGGCAATCGTCAACGTCTCTGTGTTGGAGGTGGTGGTGGGGGAGGAATTAATCAGGGGTCCCACTCCTGATCACATTCCAATGATGCCACCCCCACCACCCCCCAATTCTGCTGGAGGTATAGGTGTGAACACACCCAGTTAGGGCAAGATAGGGACAAACAGGTAGCCAAGACTGATCGTCAAGTGTCCCAAGCAAATACACATCACTTGAGGGGCCCTAGTAAACGGGCAAAAGGCAAAAACTAGTCCAAACACCTTGAGAAGAGGTGAAGGAGGGAAAGAAATTAATGAGAGAAAAAAAGAAGATGCCTGGATTACCGTTTGTTACCCACATAAATACCACATAACCTGAGAACCATAACAGACAAGAGAGGGATCCATACGCACAGTTTTCAGCAAACCCACATCTTACAATAGGAGAAGCCACAGCCAACAAGCACATCCGAAGTGTCGTGAATGTTGGATTTCTGCTTGTGACGTGACCACACATTACACTGTTTCCGTTCAGGGTCTGTTAAGGTCTTGTTTGCAGCAATCCCTTTATGAGACACTATCCCTTTGTTGGCTTTCAGAGGGCATGTGTCATTACAGGTCAGTGCAAAATTAAATCAATAGGGGTAAGGAAGGTGCATGCAGCGTGTAGATAGGCTACGCTACAGATTACTAGATCCACACTCTAATTCCAGGTCTTGAGATACTAGCTTTCTTCGGACACCCTCATGGGGGTCCTTGACTAAGGACTGGCTGATGTCAACCTGCCTGTTCAACCAATGGGAAGGACACTACCCAGAAATTGGAGTTAAAATTCAAAAGGCTTCTGACCACAGATCATTAACTGATGGAAATTGCTCCACAGATGTTCTCTCAGTCGCCGACTCCATGGTTTGGAGGAAGGGAGAAGAGAAGGGCAATGTTGCTTGCAGAATCCCCCCCTCGCCCACCCAACCACACTTTCTTGTTACACCCTTCAAGGGCTCTCGTCGCTCCAGTATATTCTCTGCAGCCACTTCTCTCCACTGCACTGTCACCTTTAGCTTTCCACGTTCACCCAACAGAGAAGGTGCTCTACCTGCTTTGCAGACGCTCTCTCTTCCACCTCTGCACTCAGATCCGACATGCTTCTCCCTACACAAAGTGTGACACTTCACTCCCACCTCCCACCCGCCCACCACTAGCTCTTCCCAGATGTGAAGAAATGCAACACTCTCAATGATCCATGGACTCGAGGCGTGGAGGGAAAGTCTCAACTGCTGAGTTCTTGTGCTAATCTCTTCAATCGCTTCTCCCGATCTGAACACTCTCAGCGCGTGGGATGTAGAATTCAGGAAAGAGTAGCTTCCAAGGGAACAGGCTTCCAGACATAAATCTAACCAGAACGCGAATATTAGGATTTTTTTTTCATTGCTCAGTTTTCACAGCAGGGAAATCTCTAAAGTTATACACACGCATGCACACACACATATATAAACACGCTTGCCCACGCATACCATACATACCCCTAGACCTAGCTTTTATTCTGCTATTTGACTAGCCGCAACCCTCAGTAACAAAACTGAAACAAAAAAAAAGCTCCTTCCCAGAAATTAAACAAGCGCTGGTTACTTTTTGGTTAAGTACCCCCACTCTGATCTAACTGGAGAGGTTAAGAGATGAGTGAAAGGGTTAACAGGCACAACCAAACATAATAAAAGGCTGCCAAAGTTAGGGGAATGATGGGCACGATCCTTACTGTCTTTCAAAACATCCCTGATTTTTTACGAGACCAAAATAAAATGGTAGATAACAGTGTGCGAGTTATGAGCCAGAATCCATTAAGCCTGAAAGACCGAAACCCAACGATTAACTTAGTGCTAAGAGGCGGCTTGGTTTAGGAATGATGAGATTTCCCTTTTGATGTCTGAAGGGTGGACGCAAGCCAACAATAGGGACACTGTCACTCTAAGCTAGGTCAAGTCCTGGAATTCTCCAAGTTAACTCATGTGTTTAATGGCCGCTAACTTTTAACATAAATTGTCACATAGGTTCCTTGAGTTGGAGAGGTAAGGTTTGTGCGATCCTTTGATTCTCTTTTTCTTTTAAAATTCCCTGCCTTAATTATAGAAAAATACAATCCGGATGAGTCCATCTGTGATGCAGTGGCAGAAGCCCACCTTCAGGGGGAGCCGCTAGTTGAAGGCTCTGCAGAGGTGTGACCTTTGCCCGAGGTAGGACTTGACGTGCTCAGCGAGCCGGAGCTACTGCTGCTTGGCCCGGCAATCACTTGCATGGCTGGTCGCTGAGCAAACAGCACTCCTAGGGAGAGAGAATAACCAGGGTTAATAAAACCCCACCGGTCGTAAAAGACGGTACCCAGCGTTAGAAGAACCGGCTATCAGCAACGATTGGACAAGCTGGACAGGAGCTCTTCAGTCTTCAGAGAAGACCGCTCAGAGAGGACCTCACAGAGACGTAGACAATTTTAAATGGGAATGAAAAAGTAAACCCAGATTAATACTCTAGGGACGTATCAAGAGAGCAGAACGAGAGGACCCAGGTTTAGAGTTGTAAAGGAGATGAATCAACAATACCTGGAGTTTGCACGGAGGGAGAATTTAGACAGGAGAGAAATATTTAAACCGAACATCAGGGGAACTCCTGCCTTTTCTGTGAATTACAGCCAAGGGACCGTTGTACACACCTGACAGGTTTCATGTCTGTCATCCAAAGGACAGCACCTCTGGAAATGCAGCGCTCCACAGTGGGTTGAACCTATAACATTCTGGCACAGAGTGGGAGGGGCTGCCAAACCTACACATACTTTACCAAGTAAAGGCTTGAGGCCCACGGGATTGTTTCTCAATCAGAACCAATGTCCCAGATCCCCAACAGTGAAGGTTGTCTGTATTTAAGAAGTCCACAAATGCCTAATGATTTGCTGCAAAGATCCGTGAACCGTTCACAACTCCTTGGGCTCTCTCCTCCTTGCGAGGCATTGCCTCAGGGGTGTTGCAGTTCCACTGTGACCTGTTGCCCTTGACACTTGACCTGTCAAGGTTACGATAAGAAAGGGTATCTATCGGAATCTTACCTGTATAAACGGTGCCATTAATTTCAATTGACATGTTGATGCTGCTGATGCCATTGGTTGACAAGTTCAATGCAATTTCCTGCCTATCATCTGCAGAAAAAACAAAGGTTGGGAGACAGGAAGTTAAAATGTGACCAACATTGAAGTGACTTATCCTATGCGTCATTGCTCATGATATGATATGGTGCCCATAATGGTTAGAGCACTCGCCTCAAAGCGAGAGGACCTGGGTTCGATTCCTGGGCAGGGCGAAACCTTGGGCAAGTTTCCTTACTCCACATGCCTCTGTTTTACCTAGCAGTAAATAGGAACACAGTTGTTAGTCGATTGGCGGATCGTTTTCTGGGGGTAATAATCTCTTCAAACCATAAAGAATAATTAGTCCCTCAATCCACAACTATTTGTGGACACTGCTATGTGCAATTGGTTGCTTTGTTACAACCACAAAATATAGTCAATTCATTTTACAGTGTAGTTTGTGAGGCTCTTTGAGACGTCTCAACGACGTGATGAGGCTCTACATCAAATGCAAGGACTACCATTATTTCTTTTTCAAGTTATAACCAATGTGAACGTGTGAAACTCAGCTAAGAGTGAGCAAGTGAGGAGATATCAAAGAGGGGATTGGGAGGGGTGGGGTGGGGGGGGGTGGGAGAGGGAGGAGGGGAGGAAGTGAACTGGCTGCTTACCCTCATGACAGAAAGTAATCTGTCATTCTGACAACTGCCATCCTGTCAAAGGCTGGCCTGCCACACAACCGTGGCCCCGTCCCATTTCCAAGCCAGTGACAGTCTGACCTATGGCCCCATTTGAGGAGGGCTCCAAAAGAATAGAGGTTACAGCAGCTGCTTCTGGTCTCAATACGACGGACATGAATACTTCATTGAGTGCTTCATTGAGTCCCGTAAAGGGAAAGGGCAGATCAATCCTGTTGCATACATTTCAAACAGTACGCTACATGTTGCCAACAAAACGGGTTGCAAAGGGGCGGACAAAGATACTTGTTCAGATGAAAACCTCCACTCACTCCCAAGAAAGAAACGGACTTTGACAAAACCGGGCTGAAAATTCGCCTTGATACGAAGAGAGACTCGATCGCTTCTAAGGATGTGCCAATCGCACATAGAAAAGAGTTGGCAACCCAGTAATCTGCTGCATTGGGGCTGCGATCTGGAGTAAAAATTTTATTCGGAAGGGTTATCGGCCAGGACATTGGGTGAAACTCCCTTCTCTTTCAATAGTGCCATTGTTCTTTAACGCCGACCTGCACAAGTGCAGATGGGACATCGGTTTGCATCTTATCCGAAAACGCTCCTCAACTGTACCAGAGCGTGAGTTTGGACTGTGAGTTCAAAGTCCTAAACCCACAACTTTCTGACTCGGAGACCAGAGTGCTACCAGCTAAGCCAGGCTGTCACTGGATGGACTGCTATGTGTCAGTTTCTAATGATATTCCTTAATAAGGATTGAAGCCGTGATCTTGCCAGTAACTGGGAACACATTGACTGTACAGCTGACTGCATAGGAACTCTTGCCCTGAGAGCAGGTTGAATCAGAACATTGATCCCATGAGTGAGAAGAATGCAACTTTGTTTTCTTTATCAAGGAATCCCGTTATAAATCATCACATATTAGACACCAATGAGGATTTACACTGCGACTGTGTTGGGGACATCACAGCTAAGACCTACCCCTCACTTAAAATTCACATAAGTGTACTGTCTAGGAGGGGGCACGAGTGACTAGGTGTGGAAAACCCAGCTAATTTTCCCCGTAAACCTGGAGAACTGAAGCTGATCGAAGAATCTTCCTCACTGTGGCCTGGCTCAGGTCAGATAACTCGGCACGGCCTGACTGTTCTGTACAGCTACCCTAGTGGCTTTACACTCGAGTTGATTATCTCCCTGAGTTATGCCACCCATAATCTGTCAAGGCTCTGACTTCTTGATGACTTTAACAGGTGATTGGAAACAAAGACAATGGAACTCTAATGCTATGGAGTGCGTCTGTGTTATCCGTCTGTGTAAGGTAACGCAACGTGCACCCAAATCAAATTATGTATATTATCTATCAATTCACTCTTTGATTGCGTGATGTTTGCATTACCAATCACCTCTTTTGCCTTTCCCAGTGCGTCAATGATAGACCTGACCGTAGCATTTAGCTTCAAAAATTCTTCTACTTCACGTCACTTTCATTGGCGTACAGGCTGACGTCCACTTAAGAGCACTGCTTCACTGTGAACCTGTGCGATACGCTTCTAGCAATGAATGGCCTCTTCTTGTCCGTAGTGTGCAGGAAGTGATGTCAGGGATACTGGAATGCTAATGGTGACCATTTTTTAGTGCATCTGGTTATAACGCAGGGTCTGAGTTCATGAGCCCAAAACACGAGAATACAACAGGGGGGGAGGAGGGGTGGCCTATATTATGTACAAGGGTCTTAATAATTATGCAGCTTTGCATTAGAACTGTAAAGCCAATCCCTAAAACACTGACTACACAATTTACTGCTTGTGGATTGATGGTTATCCCTTGTCAATCGTACAGTGATTAATTTTAAGCTAAACCTTACTTTGTGTCTGTGTGTGGAGGGGGGGAGGGGGAGAAATAGGAACGCACACCCTAGGAGGCTGAATACCCTGCTTCTGTGTTGAAACATCCAGGAGTTGGGTGAAAGGGTAGAACTCAAGTCAGTGGGTGCCTGGAAATTTCTTAACTTTTATTCTCAATGTTATATGAGAACAGGCCTCAACTTCACCCTGGAGAGAACAGCGTAGCGGAGTGACTGTGATGACCACAGAGTTGCATGTATTATAGTATAGCGGCATACAATTTTTTAATGGTCTCTTTAAATACAGGTCGGTCTTCTTAGTCACATCTAAACATTAGAATAGAACGGGGCAGAAACAATTCCCATCAACTGTGATTCACAAAGCATCCACACAGGGGCAACAAAGATTTGCTCCTGGCTTGGATGGCACCCAGGTTTTGTACGTTCTGCATTTAAATTGACAGCACAATAACCACAGATTCACTGGGTCCTTTATTAATGCTGCAAATAAGGTCGTCTCTTAAACTAGCTTATGATACCTCTCCTGATGAGCACACATATCACCTCTGCCTTACCAAAAGCAGATCTATGTCCCAGTGAGATGTGCGTAACGTGTCATTAACTATTAAACCCTGACTTCTCTTTTTTCAGCGAGGTAACTTGGTCAGATCAGACCCAGCTTAACAGAAACCCAGGTTACTGATATCTCTTATTCCACAAACTGATGCCAAACTTGAGGCTTTTAGGACAGTGGGAACATTATTTAGTATGTTTTTCTTTTGTCAGCTGGGTGTCTTGACTCGTGTGGAAACCCATCACCACGATTAAGAGTATTCAAACCAGACAAAGGTCCGCATACACATATCACTTACACATGAAAACTTCTCTGTGTCTAGAATGGACTATGCACTCTCTCCCCAGAGGGATGCATCCTGTTTACCCAATTCTGGAGAACATTAGGCACACAAACAAGGGCATGGGGGACCTCAGAGTATGCATTGCAGTAACTGTTGGCAGTTTTACCAAGTAAAACCATGGAGTTTGACTCTCCCCCACACCTCCCCTCAACGGCCAGCAATAAGTACAGCGATAACTATAAGAAGGGAGTTTCTCCCAGTGTCCTGGCCAACAATCCCCCCAAATAAAATTGGCCATTCACTTCATGGTGTTTGTCGGATACTGCTGTGCACAAATGGGCTGTCACATTCGCCTGCAAATACAGTCACCACAGTAAATCCTGTGTAGTGCTTTGAGACACCTTGATGTTGTGATAAGGTGATAAGGCACTAGGTTTATTATTAACGGTAGTAGTATTGATTGATTTTGATCCACGTGGTAATCATTATGCTAGAAGTCACATATTTCTTTCCAGAGTGTATGAGCTGGAAATGGACAGAACTGATGGGACTGGGGAGACTGGAGGTTCTGTGCACCTGCTGGCAGTCTAAGGGTTAAGGAAGAGTTTGTGTCTGAATTTACACTCAGACTTACAACCCTTCCCCCGACGCAGTATCAAGCTGCCAACCCTGAGGGGCTGAAATGCTCTACAGGAATATACCTTTCAACTGACAACTAAATTACATTATTCAAATAATATTACCTTGAAGGTTTCTGTTTGTACCTTATAATCACAGCTAATGCTGCATCACAGCCTTTAAACTCCTGGGACAGTTTGTCTGGACAAAGATGAAGGCGTGCCTGCAATGGGTTATTTTGCGATATGTGAGGCTACGCTAGTGTTTGTTCTGAGGGAAAGGTTACTACGCTATATAAAACAAACTCGTATTGTGCACATATCATTCCAAGGTCATTCTGCCAAAGAGATAAGATAGAAAGCAGTGCAATAGGAAGAGAGCCTGGGGCTGGTAGTGTGCTTGTGAGGGGTGGGGGTGGGAGAAGGCAATCTAAGAGAAGAAACTGATCGCTGTTTAATAAAAAGTAATAAATCAATAAATAACTAAGTAACTTTGCATTTGATGTCACACCCAAAACGGCAAAAGGTCTCCAGGTGTAGGCAAAAGCCATAGCAATCTTCAAACAGCAAAATCCCACAAACAAGTATGAAGTGAAAGACTAATTTTATCTGGGGATTGTTGGTCAGGACACCATGAAAAATTCTCTTCTGCTTTTGAATTTTTCTCCCTTGCCTCCTCCAAGGCCCGTCTCAAGAGACTTTCCTTTTCAACCGTGCCTTTGGTTATCTCCCCAAACTTGGCTAACGTGTTGCCCCTCCCTAAGCTCTTCTCCTGACGCAAAACGTGAAGGAACAAACTGATGTGGACCTCACCTTTTCCATTGATCCTGATGTTCATAGGCATATGGGTTGCCATGGCAAACAGGTTCTGCTGCAAGGCCTGTTGCATGATCCTGTGCTGTTCCTCGGCAAACCGGGCAATCTTCTTCTCAGGCGGCTGCCCGCTCTCCAGCTTCTCCCTAAGCTGCTCCAGGGTGATGGCCTGAGCTGCGGAGTGGTGACCGGCGAGGCTGACTGGGATGTGGATCCGGTTTGGCACTGAACCAGAGCTCGCCGCTCCCTCTTCTGGGACAAAGAGAAGTGCAAACAGTCAAGAGCCACGCAATGTTTAGAAAAACGTAACAATAGACCACTCTCATTCATAGGAACAAGAATAAGGCCATTCAGCCCCTCGAGCCTGTTCCCGTATTCTATTAGATCATGGCTGATCTGTACCTCAACTCCATTTATTCGTCTTTGCTCCATATCCCTTGAAACCTTGACCTAACAAAGATCTATCCACTTCAGTCATGAAAATTTGAATGGATCCAAAATCCACAGCCTTTTGGGGGAGTGAGTTCCAGATTTCCACTATTCTTCACGTGAAGATGATCACAAGAGAGGTTTGGATGAAGATGGTACTTTGGCCCATTTGAGAACACCCATTCTACTGCAATGCAATTGTCCAAGACTCCAGCACTGTGTATATAATACTCCCTGGGCCTGAAATTCCACTAGTCTCAGCCAGTGAGTCCATTTTATATTAAAAATTCAAGACAGCGCAGAACTGAAGCAAATTCTTAAATCCAGTCTGAATTTGGAAGCCAGAGTTCCCGAAGTTCTTAAAAAAGATCAGCTTCCAAAATAAGACAGAATTCATAGACTTTCTACATACAATTCTCCTTGATTGCAAGTCCCAAGGTAAAGCTACAGGCTAAGATTAGATGGAACATTGGGCCCCACGTGCGAACCAATGGATGGGCATACGAGTAACATGGATCAACCTGTAGTGAAACCCCCTCCTGCACTGCAATGCATATTTGTCTCCCACTGCGCTTTGAAGGGAATGTGCCGTTTCAACTCTTCACTCTACCCTGTAACTAGGGTTAAAAGGACCGAGGCCGTTGCATCATCTGAAAGTCTCCGAAAAGAGGAATTTTCTCTTGAGATGAACAGGAAACATAAAAGGGATTAAAGAGGATTATCTGACAGATCAAAGCAGCACACCTGTAATTGGCTGCAGAACCCACCCAGCCAGGTGTGAAAAAGACATGTTAACAGCTGGAATGCAGAATAGCGCAGCACTGAGGGAAAAGAAACACAAAAAGGTGTAAAGCCGTGTTTATACATTCCAAACTGCTAACTCCTGGTGAAGACACTTTGTTTACATCGTCCGATCTTTTACCGACAGAATCTAGAGCATTTGGACTACACCTGCCTCCATTCCCTGCAGTCTTTTTGTGACAGCCTGACTCAGTTACTAGCACTTTCGTCTCTGGGTTAGAAGCTTGTGGGTTCACACGTCAAGTTAGGGCTTGAGCTCACAGTCTAAGCTTTAGCATTCAGGGTAACTCCACTGTCGAGGGTGCAGTTGTTTGAATGCGACCTTCAGCCAACATCTTGTCTGCAATCAAAATGCAAGATTTTCCACTTATAGTGACTTCGTGGAGTCCTGTAGCTCAGTGATTAGAACACTCGCTTTGCAAGTGAGAGACCTGAGATCAATTCCAGGCAGAGGGCGAAACCTTGGGCAAGTTTCCTTACTCCACACGCCTAATAATAATCCCTCCAAAACCAAAAACAATAATAAATTGGTCATTTTCAATCTACGACTGTTTGTGGGACATTGCTGTGCGCAATTGGCTGCCGCGTTCGCCCACAAATATACAGTCAATTCACTTTACAGTGTGTTCTGTGAAGCGCTTTGGGACGTCCTCCCGACGTGAAAAGCGCTATATCAAATGCAAGGATTATTATTATTATTATTATAACGGGAACTCAATATCAGAAGTGGTGTGTACTAGCTGGAGTCAACACCCACACGAACATGAGTTGGGGGTGAAGAGGAAGGAATTTCCCCTCCAGGAATTTGTTAACTTTGTTAAAGCAAGCAACAATCAGGTGAAAAATTCACCCACAGAATATCCATTCCATTCACTTCACAGTATGTTTTGTGAAGCGCTTTGAGATGTCTCAACGACATGATATGGCGCTATAAAAAATGCAAGGAGTATTATTAATATTATAAAGATTTGGGAATGAGTGAGACCACTGAAATTCAGTCTGTGCCAATATATTAGCCAATGCTAATAATCAATTCATTATTGAATCAATTAATACCCCATTGATTAACAGTGGACCTCAATCACTGTTTGGAAAAAGCTAGTTGGAATCAACCACAACAACTTGCATTTATATAGACCCCTTCACGCGGGGTAGCGTCCTAGAGTGCTTCATTATTTGGCAGAGATAGGAACAACACAGAAGAACAAGCCCATACCTTTCTTGATGGCCTGCCTCCCCGGGGAGGGGTGGGTACCATTGATGGCAGGAATGTTCATAGCAGACAGATGAAGCTTGGGTGTGGACAATAGCGTGTGGCCTGAGCTCGTGGGGTAGCCGAAAAGGGCAGAGCTGTAACTCGGCCTTCGGCCCTCTCGCCTGTTGCTGTCGATTGCTGCCTGTAGCTCTGCAGGAGAACTGAGGGACTTTTTTTCACATTCATAAGGGTAGAGGTATTTCATATATCTGCCGGAAAGACAAGGGAGCAGTGTAGAGACACAATGGACAATGAGCTCCACTTCAGAACGGGGTCTAATTTGTGGTATTTCCTCGCGGCACTCCTTATTATGGAATCAGGCAAATTGGGGGGTGGGGGTAATGGGGTGGCGGGTTAGCTGACCAATCCCTACACACGGAAACTCTTCTCCGACACAATCTGCTCCTGCAGTGGAATTCCAAAGATAGAATTCCCAAGGCTTCATAGGAATTCTAATGGAGTTTGTTATTAAGGAAACCCGTTAAGAATTACTGCAAAGGAACAGGAAGACGGCATTCAGCCCATTGAGCCTGTTCCACCAGTTTATTAGATCATAGTAGATCTATGAATCCCAATTCCCTGCCTTTTCTCTATATCCCTCAATATCCTTATTTCCCCAAGTATTTACCTATCTCCCTTTAAAGCTTCCCAATCGATTCTGCCTGGAGGGTCTCTTAAACCTCAGGGAGCAAGTTGTATGACGGCTGAGCACTTAGCCAAAGATGTGTGTCATACCTTCCCCCTCTCTCCTCGCAAATTCTATTTAAAAATTAACTAAGTCAGTGACATAGTCCGCTCTTTGCTTGGCTGAGTAATGGATTGAATGGTCACTGATTACATCATACCTCTCAGAACATCTCCACTTGCTGGTGTGAGCAGCGCATTATTTTCAAAGCCAATTGTCACACTCCGCCCTGGTAATATCTGATTCCAATCCTGCCCTCATCCCGTGGGCTCCTGGAGCTGCTGCACTGGGGCTGAGCTGCCCTGGGCCCGAGCTGCACTGGGGCTGCGCTGCCCTGGGGCTGCGCTGCCCTGGGCCCGAGCTGCATTGGGGCTGTGCTACACTGGGGCTGCTCTGCTGTACTTACTGTGTCCTGAGCGTAAAGGCCGCACTGGTAATTGAGGTAGGTAAGTTGAGGCCTTTCGTGATTTCCCTCCAAATCTTTTTGTTGATGACTTCCACCAAGCCGCCTTTCTCTGTGACCAGCTTGTACAACATGTACAGGTCTAATACTTGCTTGGCCATGATCGGAATCCGGTTCACTGGTGTCCCTGGAAGGCAATAAAGATGGAAGACTTTGCATCAAGGCTGATCTTCTCTCAGTGTCCATAGGACTGAATGCGAAGGAGAGGTGCTAGATCATCAACGGTGAAGGAAACCCTGAGCGCATACATGCCTGATCATGCCTCGTACCTCCCTCATTGCAGTAAAATTAAAAAAAAACTTATATCGGATTGACTTTCAAGTCAATGAAGTGCCAATGAAGTGTGGTCACTGTATTTTTTAGGGCACCCCCAGCACTGCATTGGAATGTCAGCCTACACCATCGTAGTTCAAAGTGGGACCTGAACCCACAGCCTTTTGACCTAAGAGGCAAGAGTGCTGCCCAAAGAGCCAGGCTGACGCTTGTTTTGTTCTCCCATCACCGTGGGGCCTCAGGTGAACCTCACATGCGAGCGAGGGAAGCGATCGTGCCACTGAATGGATCCTTCAAACCGTGTTACCTGTGACGGACAGTGGCACGTGTACTTGGCAGATAAAAAAGATACTGTAGAATAACAATTACTACTTGGACAGTTGTCTGCGACACTGATGCGGACACGTTTAAAATCAATTTCCATCCCTGTCACCTTCATTCCTTTCAATCGTCTTGTCAGGTTCCCTTCTGGCTGGACACTCACATACAATGGGTGCCTTTTCGTTTCCCTCCAGTAAGGTCAATTTTGCGCTATTTCTAAACGGGCTTTCTTAACTAAGAAATCTGTAAGGTGTCGAAAAGCACGCCACATCGGTACGAATAAAGCTGGCTCCCAAACTTGATGGAGATGCATCACAGTTCCTGTGAAATTGGCATGAAGTACTTCCAGATTTCATAGTTAAGAAATAGTGCAAACTTCCACCCGAGTTTGCCATCTTCTGTATCCTTCAGTTGTTTTCCTTCTTGTTTTTGCTCAATGACTATTTTTTTCACCCCCTTTTCTTTAGCTGTTTCATTGTTTACTGGGGTTGGGCTCCACGAGTGCCCTTGATTACCTCAAACCTTGGCCATCATTTATGCTGGAGCCACTATATTGAGGTTGGCAAATCATCTGCTCTGCTATGTAATGTGGCCTCCTGCCCTTGACTGAGCCATTGCGCTCAGTCACTGGGAAAAGGCTGGGGCAGACTGATCTTGCACAACTCCCAGCAATAGCACAAGCGGAACAGAGAGAGGCAAAGAAGAGAAGAGAGAGAGAGAGAGGAAGAAAGCAGAGAAGAGAAGCGTGCAATCTGCTTCTCAGTTCGTTACACTGAGCTCCAGAGGTTCAAATTGAAATCGACAGATGGGAGACAATCGCCACGTTACAAGTTCTCTCATCAGCTCAGATCGACGGGGGGGGGGGGGGCGGGGGAGAATTTAACAAACTCTTCACCAAGCATTTGTCAATAAATAATGGATTTAAAATACTAAACAATAAATATTAACGGGAAAATAGGTCTATATTTGTAACCCGCTATTTGGAGTACACATATTGCATTTTAAGTGATTCTGCTACACGGAACAGAATAAACCCGGATCTCTTTAGTCCTTTTATTTCAAATTATAGCTGTGCCTCTGAAATTGAACATTGAAGCATTGCATTTTCCAAAAGTACCTGAAACCCAAATAGCAACTTCAAAAGGATCACTTTTAATCTCATCTGTTACACTCCAGGAGAAAAAACACAAGCCTTATTTAACATGACGTTTCAGCAATCCCAATCAGCACCCTTAAGTTGACTTTGAAAAGAAAATTCAATCCATTTTAGTTACAGAGAGTGAAGAAAAAGCTCCGTTGTACGGTCTTGTCTCAGCTTTCTCTATCTTATTGTTCAACTCCTGTATTATCCTGTACTATTCAAGTCCTGAAGCTCAGTGGTTAGAGCGCTCGCCTTGCAAGCGAGAGACCTGAGTTCAATTCCAGGCAGAGGGCGAAACCTTGGGCAAGTTTCCTTACTCCACACACCTAATAATAATCCCTCCAAAACAAAACAATAATAAGTTGGTCATTTTCAATCCACGACTGTTTGTGGGACGCTGCTCTGCGCAATTGGCTGCTGCATTTCGCCCACAAATATATACAGTCAATTCACTTTACAGTCTATTCTGTGAAGCGCTTTGAGACGTCTAGAAGACGCGAAAAGCACTATATCAAATGCAAAGATTATTATTATTATAACTCTTCAATTCAGATCTGCTTGCTCAATATGCAAATAATGCTTGCATTTGATGTACCCCCACATTGAAACGTCGCAAAGGGCTTCACAGAATTTCTCTGTAAAGTGTAGTGACTGTGTATTTGTAGGTAAACACAACAGCCAATTTGCACATATCCAGTCCCACAAGCAGCCATGAAGTGAATGACTTTCATTACATATCAAGGAGATTGTTGGCTAGGATACCAGGAAATACTTTCTAACTCAGAGGTGAGAGAGCTACCACTGAGCCAGGCTGACACCTTATGTTTTGGGATTTAACATTCACATAAATATTGTATTCATACACTTAAAGATTATATAGGCCTCGATTAAAATTTCAGATAGACTCTTTCCATGATTAATCATTTTAACTATAGACTCATTATATGAGAAGCAAGATTCATTTGTTTTCCTCTTGCTCATTAAACCTCGAGTCAGCAGGACGTCTTTAAGAGGGATGACGAGATGGCCAAAGAATGAAGGCGACCAGATAGGGGAAGAAACAATTGGATGGGAAATGAGTTGTTCAATAAACTGCAGATCAATGCCTCCCATTAGCTCTGGCCCATGTATTATTTAGCTTTAGTGGATCCGGATACAAGGATCTCCAAATATCAGAGACATTAAGGGACACTAAAGGTTAAGAGCTCCAGATTTGGTGGATCGACACAGCAGTTCTATAGAGGCAGATGTTAAGGATAACTGCAGTTGTGCTACGTCGGTGGTGGTGCCTTTGACAAATGTGGAATTTACACTTGTCTGTCCCTCAGCTAAAGCCGACATATGAGCCCTGCAGTTGTCGCTAATTATTTTTAGCATTTCTGGACTGGCTCCAACGGGATCAGAATTGGGTGTTGACCGGATGGTCTGGGCGTTCGTAAACAGGTGCTGGAATGCTTGGCCGTCCTGTGACGACCCGGACGCCCTCTCACCCAGCTCGGGTTCGGGAACCCGTTTCCATCCCACAGTCAAAAGCACAGGGAGTGCGATCAGGGGGAAGCAGCTTTATCTGGTTAGTTCTCTCGTGCTACAATGTCACGGTTTAAAGTCTCAGTCAAAGGATGGCATCTCTGCCAATGCAGTGCTTTCCCAATCTCAACTGTTCTTAAAATGGAGAAGACCATTCGGCAAGTTAGTCGCGTCAATATCAAACAGGTATAGATCTCCCATGAGCTTATGACAGATCAACGACAACAGCAGGTTGGATTTAAATAGCGCCGCTCACGCAGGGTAGTGTCCTGGAGCGCTTGATTAACGCCAGATAGGACTGCATTGTCATTGCACCAAATCTGATATAAAATCTGAATCAGAACCCTTTTGTGCTTCTTAATTTCCCTGATATTTAGAGCTCTGAATTCAGAACGTTCAATAATACATCCTCATTTAGATCACTGAGATCACACACAGGGCTGAGCTCAGAAGCAATGCCTCCCCTTGGCTGAGAAATACACTGAAGCTGATGGTCTGGAAAAATATACAAAGCGCAGAATGTTGTTATGTTGACAAACACGGATTATCAGAGCTGACGGAGGAATGTTTACTGCTTTTTACTAGTTGCTCGAGTTAGAGCAATTACAGTAATAGGACTATTGAATGTGAAATTGATTCTGTAGCTGTGGTACATCGCATCCCTGAGACAAAGCAAAAGATGACCAGAGGCTATAAATATAAACTAGAGCAAGTTAACTGCATTCATACACAGTCCCAATGATGAGTGAATCAATGCAGTGACCTGGGATCACACAGACTTAAGTCAGCACCGATATTGGACATTTTGATTTATAGACATTACATGGGCTACAGTTCAGAATTAACAACAGAGGGTAAATAATACGGCTGCAATGATCATTTTCTTAATTGCCTTTCGAGGCTGGGAGCAGAATGCTGAGAGAGAGAGGGGTTGAAGCTTTAACAATTTGTTAATTTGTTTGTTGAACAAAAAGCCAACCAAATTCTTTCAAAAATCTTTAAAAACTTTCGACTAGCTTCCCTTGGATATATGTTCTTAGGTGTCAGCCTGGTCCACTTTGGAGCCCTCTCACCTCTGAGGCAAGAGGTTGTGGGCTTAAGACCCACGCCAGGACTTTCAGCTCACATAGTCTAGGCTGACAATCCAACAACAGTGCTGGGAAACTCTGTATTTTTCGGAGGTGCCATCAGATGAGGCGTTAAAAACTGAGGTCCTCAGTTCAGGTGGCCAACACTCCCCCGGATGAATCCAATCATTCACTTCATAGCTGTTTGTGGGCCATTACTGTGAGCAAATTGGCTGCCACATTCGGCTGCAAAATGCACAGTCGCTATGTTTCACAGTAAATCCTATAAAGCGCTTTGAGATGTGCTCCTAATGTGAAAGGCATTACAATATATGCAAGAATTATTAATAATAATGACTAGGAGAGTCAGACCTTGTGACCTGGATTTGTAGTTCAGAGTTAGATGCAGTATTTTTCAGGTTTGCCACAAACCAACAGAGGAAAAGCATTTTCAAAGAGTTAAATGATTCCGATTTGATTTCTCTGCTTCTGTCCATTAAAGTGATGGCCTCAGCAGTGTTACGCAGCTGTATGAGTTCATTTGGTAGCTTTAAATGGACTGAAGGTGTCACACTGTACAAGACAAATGAGGCTCTGGCCTGCCCTTGCTCAGATAGGATTTCATCTGGTCTCACAACCAGCTGTTAAGATTTATAAATAATGGAACAATCACACAAACATTTACACATACAGCAGCTCAACCTCACTCTTGTTCTGGCGCCTTTCAATCCTGTAGCTTTATCGCTCAGAATTAAAGGGTCTTCAAACCTGAGTGAGTTCCCCGGATAAATCCGTCAT